CTCGAAACCACATATGAAGGTACGAGTTCAGTCAAACAGTCAAAACTCCAGCTGGTAAAACTGAGTTTGAAGAACTACGTATGAACGAGGACGAAGACATTGCAAGTTTTCACGGACACTTACAAGAATTAGCAAATCGGGCAACGATTCTTGGAAAACCCTTCTCCCAACAGAAACTTGTCAAAAAGGTTTTACGATCCTTACCTCCGAGGTTCAGGATGAAGGTAACTGCTATTCAAGAGCATGACGGCTGGGATGACAAATCGGTAGATCAAATGATGGGCAACCTTCTAACCTACGAAATGGAAATTCTTACTGATCACACTAAAAAGCAAAAGACGGTTGCTTTTGTAGCTGAAGAACAGGACGATACCGCATCAAATGATGATCCAGTCGCATTTTTAACTAAACAGTTTTCTAATTTTTTGAAACAGGTATCTCAGAAGAATACACAAAACAACAAATATAAAAAGGGGACAAGTTCCAACATGTCAAAAACTGGCACAAAAAGTGGTGTGTCAAATTCAAAAAATACTGCTTCACGACCAGCCCGCTCCAAAGAAAAGTCAAACAACAAAGGAATAAGGTGTTATGAATGTGAGGGCTTCGGTCATGTTCAGGCTGAATGTCCAACGTATCTTCGGCGAAAGAAGTCCATGACAGCCACAACTTGGAGTGATGACGAACATGAATCAGAAAATGCTGACTCTAACGCAGAAGAAATGTTTGGTAATTTTGTAGCCTTTGCAGCCAAGAGTACGATATGCTCTGAACCTGTGGATGCATCTGACACAGAGGGTGGTGACTACAACTCGGCAGAAGATCTTGACATACCAGATATATATTACGAAGTAGAGTTTAACAAGTTGTATCCAAAATGGGAAGCATTACTTAAAGCAAATCGTGTAGTGTTTAGTGAAGTTAGAGTCTTGCAAAATGCTGTAAATGTGTTCAAAGGTCAAGTAGCAGACAGGGATTCATTAATTAAAGAATTGACCGAGAAGAAAAACTGCAACAGGAAATCAAGAGACTGAAGTTGGAACTAAACACCTATATAAAGAGAATCCAAATGATGGATACCACATCAACTCTTGACGAAATCCTTGGTTCAGGGCGGCAATCCTCTACAAGGTTTGGTATTGGATTCACTGGAGAAACCAGCAAAGATAAAACTACGTTTGTCAAGGCATGTGAACCACATATAGAAACTGCTCCTGAGTCAAGCAAAGCTAAAGATTATCGTGAATCAGTGCCTATTTCAGGCTCAGCAAAACAAACACGAGGTACAATACACCACAAGTTTCAATATAAGGTATATAATCCTGTGTGTCACTATTGCAGGTTACGCGAGCACATCAGACCTGGGTGTTATTATTTCTACAAAGACCAAAGGGTGGAAAAACACAACCATAAGTTTATCACTCCGTTTGTCAAACAAATATGGGTAAAAAAATCCGATTATATTAGCTTTGTATCCATTCATACTAAAAGTGCAGGTAGGGATGATAAATGGTACTTCGATAGTGGCTGCTCACGCCACATGACTGGGAATGCAAAGTTTCTGAGTAACATACACACAAGCAACGGTGAAGTAACCTTTAGAGATGGAGTCAAAGGGCAAGTAACCGGAATAGGGACTCTAAATGTTACAGGTCTACCTAAATTAAAAAAGGTGCTACTGGTCAATAGACTCCATGCAAATCTCATCAGTATTAGCCAGCTTTGCGACCAAAACTGGAATGTTAGCTTCACCAAAAATAGTTGTAGTGTGACAGATAATGACAAACACTGTGTTATGGAAGGTAAACGGTCAACTGATAACTGTTATATCCTAACGAATGATATTCTTTGTTGCAGATCTAACATAAAAGAATCTGAGATGTGGCATAAAAAATTAGGACATTTGAATTACAGATCTCTTGATAAACTTATCAAAGCAGAAGGTGTTCGTGGACTACCGAAAATAAAAATTGATTCAATGGGCATATGCGGTGCGTGCCAAGCCGGAAAACAAACAAGGACACCTCATCCAGCACTAAAGAGCATCAACACAAGTCATTGTCTAGAGTTGATACACATGGATCTTGTGGGACCAACTCAAACCGAGAGTATTGGAGGTAAAAAAATATATTCTAGTATGTGTTGATGACTTTTCACGTTTTTCTTGGATCTTATTTCTTAAGGAAAAATCTGAAACGCTCGGAGCATTCAAAGTCCTGAGTCTAAGACTTCAAAATGAGAAAAGTGTTACAATCGTCAAAATTCGAAGTGATCACGGACGTGAATTTGAAAACACTCTCTTCGAAGAATTTTGTAATCAGAACGGAATTACTCACGAATATTCGGCTCCGAAAACACCCCAACAAAATGGAGTTGTCGAAAGGAAAAATCGAACTATTCAAGAAATGGCTCGGGTGCTTTTAAATGCGAAAAGCCTACCCCAAAGGTTCTGGGCTGAAGCCGTAAGCACGGCTTGCCATATTATAAACAGGGTCTATCTTCGACCAAGTACAAAACAAACTCCGTATGAAATATGGAAAGGTAAGAAGCCGAATCTTAAGTATTTTCATATTTTTGGCTCACGATGTTTTATTTTGAAAGACAGGAATCCTGTAGCAAAGTTTGAGCCAAAAAGCGACGAAGGAATATTTCTCGGGTATTCCATCAACAGTCGTGCATATCGGGTGTACAACAAAACTACCAAAACCATTATGGAGTCAACCAACGTGGTAGTGGATGATCAACCAGATGAATACTCGAGTATCTTACTACCTGAACCAACAACAGTCTCTACTTCACAGTCTGAACCGCCCGAGTCTGGTTCAGGAGCTGCACAAACTCAACCGGAGTCTCCTATGGTTAATCTGGAATCCTCTACATCAATACCTAAGTCAACACGTGCGTCTACACCTGTTACAGCTCACTCTAGTCCAGACCCTGATACTGATCCTGAATCACTGCAAAATGAAGTCGACATTCCAACTCGTATCCAACGCGAACATCCCATTCAAAATGTGATAGGTGATCCCAGTTCCGGTCTCCGAACCAGAGGAATCAAGCGTGATTATCTTCAATTGGTTGGATACGCATGCTACACATCTAAACTTGAACCTAAGAACGTCAAAGAAGCGTTAATAGATGAACACTGGATAAAAGCAATGCAAGAGGAGTTAGGTCAATTCAAACGAAACAAGGTATGGATTCTAGTACCCAAACCTGATAATGTGAACATTGTAGGTACCAAATGGATCTTCCGAAACAAAACGGATTCCGCCAGTAATATAGCAAGAAATAAAGCACGCCTCGTGGCGCAAGGCAACTCCCAAATTGAAGGAATTGATTATGACGAGACATTTGCCCCGGTCGCTCGGCTTGAATCAATACGCCTTCTTTTATCTATAGCGTGCACTTTGAAAATCAAGCTCTATCAAATGGATGTAAAGACGGCCTTCTTGAATGGTTATCTTTCTGAAGATATTTATGTAGCTCAACCGAAAGGATTCGAAGACCCTCATCACCCGGAATACGCCTACAAACTAGAAAAAGCGTTGTATGGCCTAAAACAAGCCCCAAGGGCCTAGTATGAACGACTCACACACTATCTTCTACAACATGGATATAAACGAGGAGTATCCGACAAGACGTTATTTATAAACCGGTCAGGTAAGCATCTAACGATTGCCCAAGTTTATGTTGATGATATTGTGTTTGGATCTACTCAGACAGGTGCAACAGAACAACTAATCAAGGTCATGCAACAAGAATTTGAAATGAGCATGATTGGCGAACTGACATACTTTTTGGGGTTACAAATTCGTCAGTCCAACGACGACATCTTCATCTCTCAAGAAAAATATGCCAAAAATCTTTTAATCAAATTCAGCCTTAACTCAGCCAAAGATGCTCGAACCCCTATATCGACGTCCACAAAGTTATTTAAAGATGAAACAGGAACGTCAGTTGATTCTACTCTATACAGAAGCATGATAGGCAGTCTGTTATATCTAACAGCTAGCCGTCCAAACATTATGCTAAGTGTCGGGATGTGCGCACGATATCAGGCGAATCCTAAAGAGTCTCATCTAAATGCAGTCAAACGTATTATAAAATACGTTAAAGGTACGCTAAATTTTGGTATCTAGTACTCAAATGACACTAACTCCAGTCTTGCAGGTTTTAGTGATGCCGATTGGGCCGGAAATACTGATGACAGAAAAAGTACGTCGGGTGGGTGCTTCTTTATTGGAAAAAATTTAGTTGCATGGCTGAGCAAAAAGCAGAACTCGATATCGCTTAGTACGGTCGAAGCTGAATACATAGCTGTAGGCAGCTGCTGCACTCAACTATTATGGATGCGACAAATGTTATCTGACTATGGTCTGCGTCAGGAACACATGACGTTATTCTGCGACAACACCAGTGCAATCAATATTTCCAAAAACCCAATTCAACATTCCAGGACAAAACACATAGATATCCGTCACCATTTCATCCGAGAATTGGTAGAAGAAAAATTGATCACTTTGGACTATATTTCCACTGAGAAAAACCTGGCTGATCTGTTTACCAAACCATTAGACAAGACAAGATTTGAATTCTTACGTGCTGCATTAGGTGTATGCGATCCCTCAGTTTAAACAATGCGCATGAGTTCGACCTATTTAGGTAATTTTATTATAAAGTTTTTTTTAACGAATTGTGCCTCTATATTTTTTTTTTTTTGCATATTTTTTTCGTAGAATTGTGTCTCTCTCCTGCGTAGCTTTGTTTTCGGATCAAAACATCTGTCCACCACAAGACTTCTAAGGCTAGTTCACTTTTTCCTAATCTTACACCTACACGCCATCTCCTCTTCCATATCAAATCAACACACCTTTTGAGGAGTTCCCACAAATTGCACTTTGGCCCCTCATCCCTCTCTCTTGCCTACCCGAGACCACATCACCATTGTCTTCCTCATACGCCATTCACCATTGTCGATCATCTCTCACCCCTGGAGAATGACAAATCCCTTCACCATTTTTATCACAAAATCTAAGAGACTTGAGCTTTGGCGCAAGATTATCGATGCTGACTCTCCGCTTTCGGTCGGGGACACTGATCGTGCTCTAGTCACCGCCATGCATCATCCGGACCTCATGGACGGCCTCACCATCAAAGAGACTAGGCAGCTTCAAGCCCTTGCTAGACATCTCACTGATGATCCGTGGTGTGTACCTCCTCCCGATCGGACTGCTTCTCCATCGGCGATGACCACCCTGCCGCCGGCACACTCAGTAAACCCTTCTCCACCCTTAGAGGATAACATCTCACTATCCACATCTAGGAAACTTGATCTAGATTCATCTATGCCTGAACAATTTCCTTCATCTTTGCCTAATTTGCAATTTTGTGTTCAATCGCTGCCTATACCTGGAGACTCGTATGATCCATCATCTCATTGTTTATCTGGTGTGAAAGTTTCATCTAATGATACTGCGAATTTGGTGCCTTTGTCTGAATTTATGCATTCCTTGTCTTCCAATTTTTCTATTCGAAATGTTGCCCAATTTTTCCGGTCTCCATCTGCACCTCCACACTGCTCGGCCTTTTCTATTCCTGTGTCAATTTCTCACAGTTCCCTCTCAAAATCTGAGCATGCTCCTATACCCATACCATCTGCTCATGAGTCCTTCACTGCTATCACTGTTCCGCTGGCTACGTCTTCCCGGGATGGGAAAGACAAATTTTTTATTTCAGGTAATAAGGACAAAAGGAATCTTGGTGATATTGATGATGTTGAGGAATTATCGGCACCCAAGCAACGAAGACGAGGCCCTGTTCTGCCTCCGCGGATCACTCGGTCCAAAACAGGGACAATTCTAGCTTCGTCCTCTACTGTCTCGGCTCCATCACGTTCACGGCCGAAACGCTCCGGAAAATCCTACAGGCCTTCTTTGCTATCTCTGGAATTGTTAAATGATTGGAAGGTGCATGTCAAACGCGACTCAATTCTGGAAAAATCTATTTATGTCGAAGATTTAACCGAAAAGTGCAACATCATTCCACTCTTACGTGATCAACAAATGTTTTCATCCCTTCAGACAATTGGACCTCACTTTGCTTGGTTAACGGCTGAGTTCTACACTAATCGCACTATGGATACATTTACAGTTGGCTCCCCTCATTTTCAGCAGGTTTTCATTCGCGACAAGTGGCATCCGTTTGGTCCGTCGCATATCAATGCATTTTTGGGTACGCCGTCACCGCAGCCTACGCCTTATCCTAGTCCACATTTACTTGCGGCTGCTCTCACTCACAATCAAGAGGTCTCTTGGCCGCGTTCTGGTCTTCCAACACTCAAGCTTACTATGGTATAGTCTGTATTGTTTCGCCTCGCATCTGCAAACTGGGTTCCCACTGTCCGGCCACAATTTGTTTCAGATCAAGTAGCTCTTCTACTGTACAGGATTCGCAACCAGCTGCCCTTCAATCTTGGGGAGTTCATTTTTGCTCACATCATGACTTTTGTTAAGAAAAAGGAGGCCAAGGTTCATTTGCCATATCCTTGTCTAATCTTCGGTCTACTCACGAGCCATGGTCATAAGCCTTACAAGGATGAATCTGTGATAGAACATGATAATACATATCAATTTGATGATAAACTGACGCAGCGGTTTCACTATGATGATCGTGCAACTTTGACTGCTACACATAAGGGTTCGGTTCCTACACCTCCGGTGTCTGCTCCAGCATCTCCTTCTGGCACTGAATCTGCTCCTATATCTGGATCTGGTGTTTTGCACACTGAGCCACCGTCTATCCTTGCTCGTCAGCAATATATTACGGCTCTTCAATCTGCTTTTGCTCAGCTTCAACTCTCTGTTTCCGCTCAACAAGCTACCATTTCGGGTCTGGAAAATCTTGTTCAGGTTTAGGTTCAGGAGCTCGCCCGGCTAGATAGGGTCATGGATACTGAATCCGGGGATGATGATGATGCTACTGATGAATCAGTTTAGGGCACCACGTCACCTCACCAGCCTGATCCACGTTTTTTATGTTCACCGGTCCTCTTTGTCACTTATTTGGCAAAAAAGGGGGAGTATATATATGGGAGTTTTTGGGAGTTTTTTGTTAGTATGGAAAGTATTGTGACAGGGGGAGTAGTAGGACATGGTACTGGTTGAAATGAATTGACTACTACTCAATGATGCTACACTTTTGGATCTTTTGGTTGATGCTACACTCTTGGTAATCACTTACTGTTTTTTCATCTTCTAAGCATATGGTTATATGGTTTTCTTGACAGTGTTCTTAATTATCTAGATAGATGGTCTATTGCTATTGAATGGTCAGCTTTTATTTAGCTATCGGATCAACTATTCCATTTTAAAGTTTGAGTTCATAAACAGCACTCACCCTCTCACAAAATCAGTACTATGGTATCATAGAACATGGTCTACAAGAGTTTGTTGATTGATAATTATTTTTTCTTTCTTAGGTTCTTATATGACACATATATTATGGGCTCCTTAATAAAATTATCTTTTTTGCCCTACGTATAAGATGTTAGAGTTTTTGCCAAATAAATAACCAAAGGGGGAGATTGTAAGTGTACATAATTTTGTACACATTAAACCTTTGATTGGCTAATTTATCTTTTAGTCTTCGGTTTAATAAAAAAACTCTTGGGCCATGCTTAATTATCATAAAAGACTTTTCAGTGGTGTACAATCAATGAAGAAGAAGTCAGATATGAATATATGGTTCAAGCATATTATGGGAGTTCAAATTAAATGAGTGGTTGAGAAAGAATCAAACATGGAATGAGGCAAATCACGTGGCTATCTGATGGAAGGGATTTGGCCAGGTCACCAGTTATGGAAACTTGCCATTTTCAAGAGTTACTATTTTGAGAATTGATCACTGCTTGCATGTTGAGAATTAATTATATTATTATTCTGCTGACCTACTGACTGCGCCTGACTCAGGTGAAGTACTGTTCAAGATTATCAAGGGATGCACGTCACGGTCTAGGTTAGATGTTAGGAAGGTTGTTTGTAGTATGGTAGTTAAGACTGTAAGGGTTTAATGTACCGTTCTATTGTAAAACTCCTTGGTGAACATCAATAGTGGATTGGGCTTACGTGGGTTGCCCCGCAGACGTAGGAGAAGCGCTCCGAACTACGTAACAAATCTCTGCATTCTTGATTTACTTCTTGCTTTTATTTTCTGTTATTTAATATTGTTAAATGACAAAAAATTAATCAATCAAAAATTAATTGAATTTTAAAAATCAAGTAGAATTTCAAGTATAGCTCGTTTAAGGTTCACGGCATAATTTCACAGCTATTTTGCTCCGAGTCAAGCTGTCGTCTCCATTGACTTCTCTAACTTCGTCCTCTCCGGCGGACCGTTGTCGGATTTCTACCCTTCGCACTCTCAATCTTACCAATAACAACTTCGTGGATTTTTCTCGTCGGATTCCTTCTCCTTGTGCTCGCATCTAGAGAGTTTGGACTTGTCTTTGAACTTGTTTGTCGGAGACCTGCTGGACCTTCTGACGGAGTTCACGAACCTCACCGCCCTCGTCCTTGGTGGGAAAAATTTTTTCTCAAGAAATTCCGGCGAGCTTTGGACGTTTACCGAAACTTCAAATGCTTAATATCATCAATAAGCTCGCCAACCGAATTCTTCTCGAATCTCACTGATGAGTTTACGTATTTAGGATATTGATTATCGAGTTTTCAAAAGAAAAAAAAAAGAAGATATTGATTATCGAACACAGATGACGTACAACATGAGAGAGAAGAAAGTTTAATGGTGGAGAGTATTTGACAATTATAATCTATTATAAAATAAATTTTTATTAACAAAACTTTTAATTAAACAACATCAGGGACTAATTGTGTCACATTATAAACAATTGAAGGATTAAATTTGTTCAAATCAATTGACAAGGACCAAATCTCCAATAGTAAAATAATTCAGGGGCCAAAAGTGTCGTTTTAAATCTCCAATAGTAAAATAATTCAGGGGCCAAAAGTGTCGTTTTCCCTTCTTCTTCTTCTTCTTCTTCTTCTTCTTCTTATCTCATCTGGTATCAGTTAGACCAGGAATTTTCTTTCTCTCTCCTATCACCACGCTCGATCGATCCTCCTTGGCTTCGTTGATGGTGAGACCCCATGCCCACTGGCGATGATCGATTGTCCCCCGGCCACGGGTGAGTCTACGACATCCACATCTGCTCCGGACCCAAATCCGACGTACAAAGCGTGGATCAAGCAAGATTAGACGTTGTTGTCCCTTATCATCTCATCCCTCTCGTGTGAGGTGATGCACTTGGCGGTTGGCAAATCCACCTCCAAAGCCGTCTGGGAAGCCATCAGTGCAGGGCTTGGCAGTTCCACCCGTGCGAGAACGCTCGGCCTTCTCGGCCAGTTTCATGGACTTCGACAGGGAGGCAGCAGCACGGCAGAGTACCTTGGGCGTGCTCAGCTATTAGTCAAGGACCTAGCGCATGCCGGTCGGCCAATATCCCTTGATGAACAGAATATGTTCGTCTTCCAGGGATTACGTCCGGAGTATCGGGCGATGGCTTCATCTCTGACGGCAACTGGGAATGCTGTCACCATTCCGCAGATTGCGGATTTTTTGCGCGCACAGGAAGTCATACACACTGATGAGTTCCCGGCAGGCGCTGATCCTGCGGCTCCGGCAGCCTACTACGCTGGCCGTGGTCGTAATGGAGGTCGCGGCAGTGGGGGTTCTGGCAATCAGAACTCAGGTCGCGGCAGTGGGGGTCGCGGCAGTGGAGGTCACGGCAGAGGCGGTCATGGCGTTCCTCGTTGTCAAGTATGCCGGGCACAAGGGCACACGACCGTTTATTGTTACAAACGGCACGCCCCGCAACAACCGTCGCAGGCCAATTTTGTTGTTCCCGGAGAAGAAGACGTGAATACAACCTCCGCTTCAGGATGGTTCCCGGACACGGGGGCCACTGCCCATGCCACGCCGGACGCGTCTATGATGACGCAATCTTATGAGTACACGGGTGGTGATGTTCTGCGTGTTGGTAATGGCGCAGGTTTGACGATCTCACGAGTTGGCCATGCTTCTATACCATCTGTGTCTAAAACTCTAAATTTAACCAATGTCTTGTATGTTCCTAAAATTTCAGTCCCGTTATTATCTGTTTATCGAATGATAATCGTGTTTTTGTTGAATTTCACAAAGATTGTTTCATTGTGAATGATTCGGTCACTCGGGCGGTTCTGCTTAGAGGTTCCACAGCGGGCGGTTTATACAAGCTTCCCGTTTCCCAGTCTTAGTTTGCTTTTCTCACATCTCGTGCTACACCGGTTGTCTAGCACCGCAGGTTGGGCCATCTCCATGCGCATGTTCAGAATCAAATCCTAAAGTTGTGTCCCGTAACACCAAATAAAACCATACCGGGCGGGTTGTGCACCTCATGTCAACTTGGCAAATCTTCAAGATTTCCCCTAGATAGAGTTTCGTTATCAAGTAGCAATGTGTTAGATTTAATTTATACGGACATATGGGGTCCGACTCCTGTAATCTCTACTAGTGGATTTCGTTATTTTCTGCTTTTCGTAGATGATTATTCCCGTTTTTGTTGGTTTTATCCCCTACGGATAAAATATGATATATATAAAAGTTTCGAGTCGGTTCGATTCATGGTAGAACACCAATTTTCGCGTTCTATCAAATCTGTTCAGTCTGACTTAGGCGGAGAATACCGCAAGTTACATCATACATTCGAAAAATTGGGCATTGTTCATCGCCAATCATATGCGTATACGCACGAACAAAATAGCAGAGTTGAACGAAAAAATCGTCACATAGTCGAAACAGGGCAAGCTTCGCTAGCCGAAGGCTGTGTCCCGCAACAATATTAGGACTACGCTTTTGAAATAGCCACAAGCTTAATCAATTATTTGCCCACTATAGTCCTAAAATCCGAAAGCCCATACAGTCGCCTCTATAAAACCAAACCACCATACACGTTCTTCCGTGTCTTTGGGTGTCGGTGGTATCCCTATCTTAGGCCCTACAATCGGCGTAAGATGGATTATCACTCGGCGCCCGGTGTCTTCTTAGGTTATCCACCTTCTTTTAGGGGATATAGATGCATGGATTTAACAAGTGGGAAAGTCTATATCTGTCGTCATGTACGTTTTGATGAGACTGTTTTCCCGTTTTCAGAATTAATAGCCCAGAATACAACTTCAATGGTGTCACCAGCCGTACCTTGGGCTGCTGGTCCGATTATATCACACTCGTCTTCCACGGCCATCATCGACTCCGGTTTACAAAGGCCGCTGAGTCCAACACCATTGGCAATTACAAATTTGAATGGTGTTATTTATAATTTAATTGAAAAGTTCTTTTTAACCCTCTTAATTTTTCTCCTCTTAAATTTCCTTCATGACATGATTTATAATTATTGGGTAATATAATTTCTTAATTATATATTTTTAATGAGACAACTAGTGCAACATATGTAATATTTTCTTATCAATTTTCATAAAAGTAATATTTTATTTATTTGGCCGGGTCGGTTGGGGACATGACTTTTGCTTAGTTATTTATGCGGCTATGGCGGCCGATATTTGGATAGCCACTTTTTAGCGCCATTTTTTTTCCCTAATGAAACTGGTATGCTCTTCCTCACAAACTGGAGTTCTTCTTCAATCAATGCACTTCAAAATTCACCATATAAGTATGTGATTTCTTTCATGTCGCGAATTCAATAACTTGTAGCTTTGAATTTCATTGGTTCTTGTTTAAAGTGTTCCTTCTATTATAACTTTTCTGCTGTTTCTCAGAGGGGACAAATGGCGGGCAAGAAGAGCAAGAAGAACAAGAAGAACAAGAAGAACAATAAGGAATTCACTGTCTGGGTGAAATGTATGGAGATTCCGAACGAGAGTAGCTTCGCCAGATACGGAGATGAAGATCGTCGGCGTCGACTTGATGTGATTCAAAATATGATGGACTATCTGGGTGAAGTGTACGGAGATCCCGAACGACAGAAGCAAGCACTTGGCGATTGTGCGGCAACCATAGGTATATCTCCGATCCTTTTCTAGTTAACTGTATAGGATTGAATCCGCGAATTGAATACACACGCAATTTATCATTTCGTTGCTGTGTATAATTCGACTGCGTTTATGCTTATATATTCATATTCCGATCCCAATTTCTTGATTCATTCTCTTAAAAGTAGTTTCTCTGTGAGCAGAGCGGATGAAATTTTATATCATCGATCGGTGGTTAGGTTTAGCGTATAATACAGTACTAGTTTTTTACGCGCATTGCGTGATTGGGATAATGCCCAATGTTTTTTTTTAATAAATACTTTAAAGTATATCAAGGATTCAAGGCAGGATTATATTAGAATTGTTCATGCATAAATAATTGAATGTTGAATTTACGTATTTAAATAGGTAATTCTAAGTTTACAAATGCAAAATAATATAGTCAAGATTGATTATAATTGTCAGTAAAATAATGAGTTAATTCCAGCAATGGTCCTCCGACTATGTTGATTTTCTAAAATTAGTCTTCGACTTTTAATTTGGACATTTTATGTCCCTTGACTTTCAATTTCTTTCCAATTGAGGTCCTTTCTCAGATTACGACAAATTGGACTTTAAATGAAAGAGTAAAGTAGTTATTTCATCTGCGTAATGTATAATTCTTCGTATTTCTTCTATTTATACGCGACTTCGGACATCAAATTCACTTAATTTCTTAATCTCTAATGGAATTTTGTTCTTCGAGTGGATTTAGGAATTAAGCAATTAAGTGAATCTGATGTCCGAAGTCGCGTATACAAGGAAGAAATACGAAGAATTATACATTAGACAGATGAAATGACTAATTTACCCTTTCATTTAAAGTTCAATTTTCTGTAATCTCACGGAAGGACCTCAATTGGAAAGAAATTGAAAGTCAAGGGACGTAAAATGTCCAAATTAAAAGTCGAGGACTAATTTTAGAAAATAAACATAGTCGGAGGACCATTGCTGGAATTAACTTGTAAAATAATTGTATAGGTATGGTTGAAACTAAATACGGGACATAAGGGAGAACAAATAAAAATTAGGGCATAAAATTTTAAATATATACTAATATTGAAGAGCTAATTGTTGATTGTCAAAACAAGGACATTGCGAGGTAGTTTTCCACTTCGATTTGTTGTGTAATTTGAATACTCTTTTTGTAAATAAATCCCCCAAGAAGTTAATATGATTGGCTTAATTATATATTTTTTACTTTTTTATTTTTTAAAACAATTATTATTATTATTATTATTATTATTATTATTATTATTATTATTATTATTATTATTATTATTATTATTATTAAAAGATACTAAAAATAAGCTAATATAACCCGCTAACGCTAACCGCTAACTACTGATTGTCAAATAAGGACATTACGAGATAGTTCTTACTTCAATTTGTTGTGTGATTTGAATACTCTCTTTGTCAACACATTCCTTAAGTAGTTAATATGATTGGTACCCGCATGGGCTTAGCTTAATGGTTTAGTATGCAGTATTTGGGGTAAGAGACCAAGGTTCAAACCTCGGCGGTGGCAGTGTGGGAATTATGTCCAAAGTGGGTAGATTCCTTGTGCGCATCGGCATTTGGCCCTGCCTACTAACCCATTAGGTCACTTGATTTACATCCTCCCACATGCTCCGATTTGGCCCGACGGAGCCCCGATTTGGCCCTGCCTACTAACCCATTAGGTCACTGTGATTTACATCCTCCCACATGCTCCGTCGGGGCATTTGGCCCTGCCTACTAACCCATTAGGTCACTGTGATTTACATGCTCCGATTTGGCCCGACGGTCCCACATGCTCCGTCGGGGCATTTGGCCCTGCCTACTAACCCATTAGGTCACTGTGATTTACATCCTCCCACATGCTCCGTCGGGGCATTTGGCCCTGCCTACTAACCAATTAGGTCACTGTGATTTACATGCTCCGATTTGGCCCGACGGAGCCCCGATTTGGCCCTGCCTACTAACCCATTAGGTCACTGTGATTTACATCCTCCCACATGCTCCGATTTGGCCCGACGGTCCCACATGCTCCGTCGGGGCATTTGGCCCTGCCTACTAACCCATTAGGTCACTGTGATTTACATCCTCCCACATATTCAGTCTTTTGGGGTAAGTTAATATGCTTGGCTTTATTAATTATATTTTTCTTAATTTTTTCATGGTATTAATAAAATACTTGGTAAATAAATATATAACACTATTTTGTATTATAACTTTGATATTTAATTAAAAAAACAGTGCACAAAAAAAGATAATAGACAATGTAGTGAATATAATCAATTGATGAATTTGAATGTAAAGAATTTTTACATTGGAGAAAAATCAAGACAATATAATATAATAAAATTATTTCTCTTAAAAAATTTATTGATAATGAATAATTTTTTTTAATAAAGACATTATAGGGACAATGTAGCGAATATAATCAATTGATGAATTTGAATGTAAAGAATTTTTATATTGAAGAAAAATAAAGACAATATAACTAATGAAATTATTTCTCTTATTTAATTTATTGATAATGAATAAATTTTTTGAATAAAAACATTGTAGATACATAATTCTAAATTAAAGATCGAAATGCATATGTATTATTTTTTGTTGTAACTACTAAATTATTATTTTATTTAATAAAAGTAAAATAGAGTACTAAATATGCCAACTTTGATTGGGATGGGGTTCGAACTTCGAACTTAAGACCTTTCTTATTGAAATCAATGAATAAGTTAACGGTGAACTAACAGAAATTAACGGAAAAGATAATATTTAACGGATAATCATATTCATTAAGGATAAATTAGTAAATTTTAAGAAAAAATTAAAATCTGATCAATCTGAGCCATTCATTTGATTAAAAAACTTGACCGCCATTTTTTCTACCCATTATAGGCTTAACTCTCTTGGGCTCTTATTAGTATAGTAGATAGTAGATTATAGGCTTAACTCTCTTGGGCTCTTATTAGTATAGTAGATATAGTAGATGTGTTCTTCTGGGGAGGAATTCATCTTTTGTCTGCTATGGATTCAAGTTCGAGTTGTGAATGTATGTGTTTGATCCACACCTAATGATCTTCCATTGTTCAATACTTTCCAAAATCTTGTTGAAATGATAGATTAATTCCATTAGTCACTTGAATCTGTGTTGTTTTAATTGCAGAAGCATATGCAGAGTATGCTGAGGCCATTACTGGTGAGCAGTATATCTTTAATTTGCAATCTAAATATTCATCTGATGACATAGTAGCGGTGGATACCTTTGTTGACGAATCAATGGTGGCTGCCGAGTCCGTTGATCTTAAAACTTTTCCCAACTTATTTGAAGAGTTTGTTGATAAACTGAACGATATGGCTGGGTTGCTTCCTGTGAGTAAAACTGGTAAGGCGAAAGCCATGGAAGGTGATGATGTTAATGCCAAAGTGAAAGAGAGGGCTACTCTGATTAAGTCTGATTCTGATGCAAAAGGAAGTGGCATCAGAGAAAAGGTGGGTGCCTTCAGGAATACTGATGAAGAGGAATCAGATGAGGATTTAGTTGAAGTTGCAGAGCAGTTATTGAAGATGAGATATCTTCAACCTTAGCTTCAAATAAGAAATCGAAAATGGAGGTGTAAGTGTAAGTACATGCTAATATTGGCCCTGACAAAATATATTCTGTAAATACTAAACAAGTGCTGTTCAAGTGCCTTACCATTTTGCTTCTGAAGTGGCAATCTTGTAGACAGTGTCAAGAGGATGAAGAAGGAAGCTATTTGCAGGTGCCCAAGCCTAACCAAATACAAGTTCAATTTCTTTTGATTCCTTTGCTTACATACATATTGTCTGTCCATCTATATATGCGTTTGAGATTTGGGCTAAAACTGATGATGGTTACTCTGTTGTTGCTAGAGTTACATAAATAGAGGATTTAAGGTTGCTGTCCCACATTGAAAGTTCATAAAACAGGAAAGGTAGGAAAGTATTACAAATAGATAAGTTATAACAACTTGATACATACTTACCTGGACAGGGTTAATGGCTGATCAAGAAGAGCCATGGCCTAGACTAGTGACCTCCATTGCACTATTGGAGGGGTGCTAGCCTAAGGTCTCTCTAAATGGGAGAGCCTATGTCATAATTTGTGACGGAGGGGGTTTGCGTTTGCGCAGCCCCCACCAAGCTTGAGTTCAAGTTTTAGTTTGGATATATGATATGATGATGATGTGATGTTGTCTTTGGTCTAAATGTTATGTGGTTTGCACTTGCACATAAATTTGCTTCAGACTTTGTCTTTGGTGGATGATACTGCTAATCTCATACCCAGTTTTGCATGTTCTACTGTGGAATAATAAAATTTTGTTCTGATCAGCTAGGGAAAGTAGTATATGATGAGTGAATACTTTACATTACTCACTAATCTCCTTTTATTTATTGGAGTACTTTACATGGGCCTGCATAGTAACGATTCTTAACTTAGTATAATCTACAACACAACCAACCACTGCAGCCTTCCGTTGTGCAAATGCGTTAGGAAAGTACACTGCTCTCCGCATATTGAGACTGATCCTTCATTGACAACTTCATAGTCTGGGTGTTGTAATCGTGCTTTTTGTGCATATTGTTGAAGTAGGCTCTTATAATTAACAGGAGCATATTGAGTGACATTTATTCAAGGCAAAGCAAAGGAAACACATGGAATCAATAACAATTTAAAAAAAAAGAAAAAGAAAAAATGAAGCTAGGTAAAATTAAGACAAAGTTTTGCCATATATGCATCAACTCATAAACTAATAATAATGCTAAAGCATGATCATCTTGAAAACCATAATCATAATTGAAGAATTAAAAACTACTTACTACATATGAGTACAACAAGTCTTAATAAGAGCGCTAAACAAATTTATTTATTTATAAGCTTGATTCAAAAGGTTATTGACAATAGGAGTTCAAATCAGACATTTGATCACAAATGATATGGCTGGGTTGCTTCTTGTGAGTAAAACTGGTAAGGCAAAAGCCATAAAGCCATGGAAGGTGATGATGTTAATGCCAAAGTGAAAGAGAGGACTACTCTGATCAAGTCTGATTCTGATGCAAAAGGGAGTGGCACTGGAGAAAACGTGGGTGCCTTGAGGAATACTGATGAAGAGGCATAGGAGGATTTAGTTGAAGTTGCAGAGCACTTATTGAAGATGAGATATCTAAGTCTTCACCGAAATAACAGATATCTTCAACCTTAGCTTCGAATAAGAAATCGAAAATGGAGGTATAAGTGTAAGTACATACTAATATTGGCCCTGACAAAATATATTCTATAAATACTAAACAAGAGTGTAAGTACTGCTCTATCATTGAGAGGTTTGTTCAAAGTGACCTACCATTTTGCTTCTGAAGTGGCAATCTTATCTTGTAACTCTTGGAGATATGCAAGAAGGGCTAAGTTGGTCACTCCATTGCCACTTGGCTTAGTCTACTCAAGTAGTGGAACAAGTGTTGATGTCATAATTTGTGGTAGCTATTTGCAGGTGCGTAAGCCTAACCAAATCCAACTTCAATTTCTGCCCATCTATATATGCGTTTGAGATTTGGGCTAAAACTGATGATTGTTACGTTGTTGTTGGTGGAGTTACATATATAGATGATTTAAGGTTGTTGTCCCACATTGAAAGTTCATAAAACAAAAAAGGTAGGGAAGTATTATAAATAGATAAGTTATAACAACTTGTCATATACTTACCTGGACAGGGTCAATGGCTGATCTAGAAGAGCCATGTCCTAGACTAGTGACCTCCATTGCACTATTGGAGGGTTGCTAGCCTAAGGTCTCCCTAAATGGGAGAGCCTATGTCATAATTTGTGGTAGAGGGGATTTGCGTTTGTGCAGCCCCCACCAAGCTTGATTCAAGTTTTGGTTTTGATGTGATGTTGTCTTATTATGAACGAAGGCATTAAAATCTAGATCCATTGCTTCACACCACACAGGAAATTTTACCGCTTGAGAATAGCATGTAGGCTCGGCCAGTAGTCAATGCAACATGTTTATAAGGCCCCATGCTCCGTGTAGCCATCACATGCGACCAAGGAAGCGAGAACGGCCACGAGGCCAACCCTGCTGCCGAGACAGTCCGCTCACTGGACACGGACTCCACAGCAGCAGCTGACGGATTGGGCGCGACAGTGTGGTCAGTAGCGACATCATCCGGCTACCTGCTGCCGAGACAGTCCGCTCACTGGACACGGACTCCACAGCAGCAGCTGACGGATTGGGCGCGACAGTGTGGTCAGTAGCGACATCATCCGGCTAGGCTTCATCCCGAGTGATCAAATACAGGTGCAACAACCCACGTTTTAGGAGGACTTGGCATAGCAACCTGCGAAGCAACACGAGCAGCAAAAGGGAACACAGTCTCATCGAATCGCACGTGGCGACAGATAAAAACCTTGTTAGTGTTAGTATCCAAACAACGATAGCAAGGATAGAGGATACCCAAGGAAGACACAAGGAGAAGACCGAAACTGCTGTTGCGATTATAGGGACGCAAGTTGGGAAAACATAAACACCCAAAAATCCGCAGGCAGGAATAAGATGGGGGAGATCGATGCAAACGATAAAGCGGACTCATTAGATAACACATGACTAGGCATTTTATTAATTAAGTACACAGTAGTCTCAAACGCATAGTCCCAAAAACGAGACGGGAAAGACGCCTGAGCCATTAATTCCAGACCTGTTTCAACAACATGACGATGTCTGCGCTCCACTCTCCCATTTTTCTCATGAGTATACGCACAAGATTGCTTGTGGTGAATACCCAGAGAAGCGAGAGTAAAGCCAAGCATTTTATACTCTCCCCCTAAATTAGATTGAAAAGAAAGAATTTTGCGAGAAAAGGAACGCTCAACAAGTGACCGGAACTTATCAAATATGGCATACAACTCAGACTTAGCACACATAGGATAATACCACATGTAATGAGTATAATCATCCACAAACAATACAAAATACTTAAAGCCATTTGCAGAAATTACTGGCCAAGGGCCCCAAATATCATAATATATTAATTCCAAAGGATGCGCACTAGTAGCTTCAACACGAGATAAAGAAAAACGAGATGACTTTCCCAATTGACAAGACGAACAAATATTGGAAAGATCACTAGAATTAAAGTTACTAACAGACGTAGATTCTAAAATCTGACGCAAGACTCTTGAATGGGGATGACCAAGCCGCATGTGCCAAACAAAAGAGGAACGTGCGGCAACAAAAACAGCTGGAGTTGGTCGCGAAGTAGGCCAAGCATAGAGACCCCCAGACACATGCCCTTTAAAAAGAACCTTCCTGGTCAAAATGTCCTTCACAAAGAAACACAAAGGGTGAAATTCAAAGAAAACATTATTATCCTTAGCAAAACGCTGAACAGATAATAACGAAGAAGATAGACCAGGAACATGTAAGACATCACACAACCTAAAGCACCTAGAATCAGTAGCTAACGGAGCGGTACCAACATTAACAATAGCCAAACCTGTACCACTGCCGACTCGGAGAGTCTTCGGACCATCATAACCTGTCGCAGAAGTCATCAAGGACGAATCAGGTGTGGCATGATTCGTAGCACCAGTGTTAGGGAACCACTGATGAGGACCATCCGGAGTATCATCACCACCAGAGACAACCACGTTCGCCTAAAGAGCCGGAGAAGGAGTAAAACGCTGCCAATAAGAAAGAGCAATATGACCCTGCTTGTTGCAAATCTGACACTAGGGACCAGAATTAGAGCACCCACGACCACGCCCTTTGTTCCCCTTGCCGCGACCACCTCCTCCTCGCTGCTGCGAACCACTTCCACGACCACCTTGACCTCCATGGCTTGCGGCTATTGCAGCCGGTGCGCTGACAGCAACACCGTCGTCAGAGCAGATCCATTCATGCGAGACCAAAAATTCCGCCACCTCCGTTAGCGGAACGGGAGCCCCTCGTGTCAAGGTCGCCACCAACGGGCGAAATTCAAGCCGCAAGGCACGAAATAAATACAAATTTTGATTGTTTAACGCAACCTAACGACCGGCAAGGGCCAACTCGTTGATCAACATCTGTGCACGACCAAGGTAGTTGGAGATGGAGGAATCACCCTGACGCAAACCTTGCAACTTGCCGAGCAGCCGCAAATCCCGAGAGCGAGGCGACGAGCCAATGGTTTGCTCGATGGTCTGCCAAAGCTGTCGAGAATTTGTTCGGCCGACGACGAAACGCAGAGTCTCCTCCGACAAAGACGAGATCAGCATCGACAAAATGGCTTTATCCTGCCGTCTCCAGGAGAGCTGCTGCGCCGAGAGGTCCATAGCCGCCGCTGCATCACTATCCGCGGTCGAGGCAGCCGCCGGCGATAGCGTTAGAAACATGATGGTGCTGTCAATAAATCCAAGAAGCTCCTAGCCTTCTAGGAACGGTAGCATCTGTGTCCTCCAGAACAAATAATTCCGAGAGGTAAATTTCAAGGAGGCAAAGTGATGAGCCGACGAAAGGCTATTTTCGGTGGGCATAGGAGGAACCTCGATAACGGTCCGTCCAGAAGAGCCAAGAATAGAGCCGTCATCATGAGCACCGAGAGTTTCCATGAGAGCAAACCTGGAAGCTGATACCAGATGAGGATATGAATTGTGTGTTGTATTCAATACTAAAGTATGAGATACAAATATACAGATACGAAAGAGAGTTCTAGTCTAACTCTAATAATATAGTCCAAATAATATTAACAAACTCTAGCAGCTTGCAGCCCAGGATCTCAAACCTTCAATCAGTTATTAACAGGAAGGGCAAATTTGTCTTTTCATACTCGTAACAATCACTGTAAAATTTTCAATGACGCCGTTTTATGCTTTATTTCCTTTTCATATTTCACTTTTTTCTTGAGTACTACTGATTCTGTTACATTGTAGTATCTGTTTATATATACTTTTTCAACCAAATGAAGCACAAAGAGTCAATACCTCCACCACTGAGACTCGGACCCATGACCTTCCATTTGGGAGAGTCACTTCATGCCGCTTGACCACAAAATATTTAGCTCATACTTCACTTTTTACTCCTTCATTTTTCTCGATTCTATATTCAATCCATGGTCCATTACACATATTTGATTATTTAATTATTAAATGATTTGTAAATCTTTTTATTACTTGAGAAGAAAAAGTAGACATATTGAAACAAGCTAGCAAGCAATGGAATATAAAATTTTTCTTCACGAAAATTTATATTTATATTTTAGTTGTTTAATATTTGGGAAATGATAAGAGAAAAAATCTCTTGAAAATTAATAAAAGAATCTCCTGACTTAACTTTTCAAAAGATATACTAGAAGTACAGAACCAAAAAGTAGAAACCAGGAAGTAAATTCACTTTTCGCCCTTCATTTTGCATTGTAAATTCTGCAAAGTTGCGTGCTTGATTTGCGTAGGAATGTCAAATGCGTGTATATGAAGATATAATTCCAATTTGGTTTTTGCGCTGCAGTCTGTATAATCATACATTTATGCAAGCTAGAGTAGTGCCGCAATGGGACTTAAATAAGGAGCTTCTAGTCCTAGAATATCTTCATTATCTTCCTAAGGTCAAAATGATGAGGATATAATATTTCTGAATGAATAATAATAAGTCTATACAGGAGTATATATAGTAGCGAATAGCAATCCTAATACAAGACTAATACTAGTAACAATAGATAACGAAGCAATCCTAATACAAGACTAATACTAGTAACAATAGATAACGAATACTAATAATAATAGAGTCCTAATACTCCCCCTCAAGCACAAGGTGGACCAGCAACAACATTGAGCTTGCCACACAGAGTAGAGAAACGCGGACCAGGGAGAGCTTTAGTGAACACATCAGCTAGCTGATCCTTTGTAGAGATAAAGCTAACCTGCAATTCCTTCTTTGCCACTTTGTCACGAACAAAGTGGTAGTCAATTTCCACATGCTTCATACGAGCATGGAACACCGGGTTGGAACAGAGATAAGTTGCACCCAGATTGTCACACCAAAGAGTAGGAGGAGCTGCCAGTGGCAACCGAAGCTCGTGCAACAGAGAAACCAACCAGGTGACCTCAGCAGACACATCAGCCAATGCCTTGTACGCAGCCTCGGTAGATGAACGAGCAACCGTACGTTGCTTCCGACACGACCAAGAGATCAGATTACCACCAAGAAATACCGCAAAACCGCTGGTAGACTTCCTGTCAGCCGGGTCACCAGCCCAGTCCGAATCCGAAAAGGCATGAACCGCAACAGAGGAGGACGGCCGAATAAAAAGACCAAAGTGCAAAGTTCCTTTAACATACCTCAAAATACGCTTGAGCATTGCCCAATGCGCAGTAGTCGGAGAGTGCATATGCTGACAGACCTGATTCACAGCAAAAGATAGATCCGGGCGAGTGACAGTAAGATACTGCAGAGCCCCAGCAAGACTGCGATACTGTGTGGGATCGGCATAGGGAACCACAAAGTCAGAAACCGGTCGAGACACCAGCACCGGAGTAGCCAACGGCTTACAGTCCACCATACCTGCACGACTCAAGATATCTCGCATATATCGCTGTTGAGAAAGGAACAAACCACCATCCCAGGAGACCGTCTCAATGCCCAGAAAAAAAGACGGAGCACCCATGTCACGAATCTTGAACTCCGAGGCTAAGTCAGCCAGAAGCCGAGTAAAACGCGAAGCGTCAGACCCCATAACAAGGATATCATCAACATATACAAGCACATATAAAGAGACCGAGTCACGAGTATATATGAACAATGAAACATCAGTCTTGGAAGGTGAAAAACCAACCGAGACCAAGAAAGCATGCAACCTGTTAAACCACGCGCGAGGAGCCTGCTTAAGACCATAGAGTGACCTCTGTAACAAGCATACATCATTCGGCCGTGACGAGTCCTCATAACCAGGCGGCTGTCTCATGTAAATTGTCTCTGCAAGATTACCATTGAGGAAGGCATTGTGAACATCTAACTGTCGAATGACCCAACCGCGAGAGACGGCCAAGGAGAGAAGAAGTCGCATGGTTGTAGGCTTTACAACGGGACTGAAAGTCTCAAAAAAGTCCTGCCCTGCGACTTGATTGAACCCCTTAGCAACCAATCGAGCCTTGTGCCGCTCAATAGTGCCATCAGCCTTGCGCTTTGTCCTGAACACCCATTTGCACCCCACAACATTCATGCCAGGCGTGCGACTAACTAGACGCCAAGTGTGATTCTGAAGCAAGGCATTAAACTCAAGATCCATGGCCTCACGCCATTCCGGATACCGAACTGCCTGAGAATAACAAGTCGGCTCAGAGACAGCCAGAAGAGCCACATGCTGCGTCGGTCCCAAAGAACGAGTTGCCATAGCATGAGACCGAGGCTGAATCGTTTTCGCCGTACGGCGACCTCGCTTGGGCACCCTAGGAGCATCTGAGACTGCCACCTCCTGAGCCTCGGCAGTCTCGGTGCGGGAATCAGAAGCAGCAACAGCAGCCCCGGAATCCGTGTCCTTCTCCAGATTAAGGTCCGGCACAGCAGGGCAAACACCGGAGCTCACACCAACCTGAACGGCACCAACACCCCACGGCTCAACCGGGCGAGAGCTAGAGACCTGCGAAGGGACAGAAGAAGCAAACGGAAACACGGTTTCATCAAACCGCACATGACGGCAAATGAATACCTTGTTAGTAGCAGGATCAAAACAACGATAGCCACGAAACGAGGGCGGATAACCTAGAAATACACACGGGGATGACCGATATTGTAACTTGTTACAATTATATGGGCGCAATAGAGGATAACAGAGACAGCCAAACACACGCAAGAAAGAATAAGATGGACTAGAACGATGCACACGAAAATGAGGACTATCATTATCCAAAACCCGAGTTGGCATTTTATTAATGAGATAGACCGCAGTCTCAAAGGCATAATCCCAATATCGTTGCGGAACCGAAGCCTGAGCCAAGAGGGCCAAACCCGTTTACACAACGTGACGATGCCGACGCTCAACTCTACCATTCTGTTCATGGGTATAGGCACAAGATTGCCTATGATTAATACCCAAAGAGACAAAAGTACGGTGTAACCGTTTATACTCTCCCCCTAAATCAGACTGAAAAGAGACAATCTTGCGACCATATGAACGCTCAACTAGTGACCGAAACTGCTCGAAGATAGCATACACATCAGTTTTTAAACGCATAGGATAAAACCAGACATAGCGTGTGTAGTCATCAACAAACAAAACAAAATAACGAAAACCATTGACAGAAAGAAAAGGCGCTGGCCCCCAAATATCGGTATATATAAGCTCTAAAACATGCGACGTAGTAGTATTGACACGGGGCAAGGGAAACCGAGAGGATTTCCCAAGCATACAAGCACGACACAACACCGAACTATCACTAAAACTAGACTGAATAGAACACGAATTTAATATCTGTCGTAAGACACGCGGATGAGGGTGACCCAACCGAGCATGCCACACCTCAGAGGAGACACGAGAGGCCACAAACGCAGCGGGACTTGAACGAGAGACAGGCCAAGAATAGAAACCCCCCGAAGCCGGTCCTCTATACAGAACTTCCCTGGTTGAACGATCCTTCACAAAGAAACAATCAGGGTGAAACTCAAAAAAGACATTATTATCACGAGCAAACCGTTGCACAGACAATAAAGACGCAGAAAGCCAGGAACATAAAGAACATCAGACAACCGAAACAGTGTTTTAGAAGCGGCTACCGAAGATGAACTAGTACTAACAATAGGCAAACACTTACCGTCACCAACACGGAGATGATCCGGACCATTATAGGAAACCGCCGAGGACATCAAGGATGGATCCGGAGTGGCATGATTTGACGCACCAGTGTCAGGAAACCACTGCTGAGGATTTACCGAAGCCGCATCATCAACGGAATACGCAACATGCGCCCGCGGCCCCGGAGCGCCATCATACCGGCGATAGCACGAAGCGGCCAAGTGGCCTTCGCTGGAGCAGATCTGGCACTGGACAACCCTGGCGCCACCTCGACCGCGACCTCGTCCTTTGCCGCGACCTCGTTCTTTGCCGCGACCTCGGCCGCGGTTGCCGCCGCCACGTTGCTGCCCGCCCGAGCGACCTCCACCGTGCTGAACTGCCATAGCGACCGGAGCAGCAACAACGTCACCACCATCATCAGCACATATAAAAGCCTGCGAAACAAGAAAATCGGATAGCTCGGGTAAAGACGCCGGAGCACCCCTTGTTAGCGACGCCACCAAAGGGCGATATTCGGACCGCAAGCCTCAGAATATGTACATATTCTGATCTTCTAGCGTCACCGGGCGGCCGGCAAGTGCCAAATCCTCAATAAGCACCTGAGCACGACTAAGATAATCCGGGATCGAAGCATCCCCTTGCCGCAACCTTGTAGCTCGCCCACCAACCGAAGGGCTCGGGCTCATGTCGTCGAGCCTAGAACCTGCTCGATCGCCACACACAAGAGCCGAGAAGAGGACTTACCGATAGCAAGATGCATCATCTCGTCGGACAAAGATGAGATCAACAAGGAGAGCACGACCTTATCTTGACGAAGCCATGCATCCCTAGCGGCGGAGGACACAGCCGATGAAGTCACGGCAGCAGCACCTCCCTCGGCAGGCGGTACGGTAATCGCAGTGAATGGAGGGCACACAGACGTTCCATCGACAAATCCCAACAACCCTTGGCCATCCAGGAACGGAAGAAGCTGAGTACGCCAAAATAAAAAATTGCGGGATGTCAACTTGATAGACACGAAGTGATGAGCCGAAGAAAACGACACCCCCGACTGCAGAGGTGCCACAAGCGCGGCCTCAGAAACAGTCCGTTCAGAACTTCCAACAGAACCGCCATCAGAACTGAGTTGCGCCATGAAGAGAGGAGAGAAAAAAAACCTGCTAATACCAGATGAGGATATAATATTTCTGAATGAATAATAATAAGTCTGTACAGGAGTATATATAGTAGCGAATAGCAATCCTAATACAAGACTAATACTAGTAACAATAGATAACGAAGCAATCCTAATACAAGACTAATACTAGTAACAATAGATAACGAATACTAATAATAATAGAGTCCTAATAAAAATGAGCCCTTATCTATGAACAACTATTTGTGTGCTAAATGGATAAGATTTATATATCAATATGGAATCTCTCTAATACTTTTTTCAAGTAGATTGACTGGTGTACAAAAACTCCTCTAGGGACATTCTCAATTTGTATGTCAAAACAATACTTGATTTTACCTAAGTTTTTCAATTCAAACTCAACCTTTAGGTATAAACTAGCATATTTAAGCTCCTTGAGTGTCCCAACAATGTTTAAGTCATCGATATAAACTGAGATAATAGAAAAATCATTTTGTGACTTCTTAATGAACACACACTGACACAAGGGCGTACATCATTGTTTACATACCCCTTGTTCAGGAGAAATTCTCTGAATCGGTTGTACAACATTCTACCAGTTTGTTTCATGCCATATAAAAACATTTATGACGATGTTATATATGTTACATTTTTCATTTTTTCCATTTTTGAGAATTATATTGTAAATTCATAAGGGATTTTCATATAAATATCAGTGTACAATGACCTATATAAATATGCGGTTACGACGTCCATCAATTAAATATCTAAATTCATTGCTACTGCTAGTGAGATTAAGTAACGAAGCGTAATGCCATCCATGAGGATATCATATGTTTGATCAAAATCAATTTTGCGTATATGTGTCAACCCTTGAGCTACCAACCCCACTTTATATCTAATCACCTCGTTATTTCACTACTAGAAAAAGTCTGAGTTGCAATTGAATTGGCCGGCCTGACAAAAATATATTCTGTAAATACTAAACATGTATTGCCAAATGCTTACCTTACTGCTCTATCATTGAGAGCTATGTTCAAAGTGCCCTACCATTTTGCTTCTCAAGTGTCGAGAGATGAAGGATGGAGATATGCAAGAAGAGTTATGGGCAAAGTTGGTCACTCCATTGCACTTGGATTAGTCTATTTGCAGGTGCTTAAGCCTTACCAAATCCAAGTTCAATTTCTTTTTATTCCTTTGCTTACATACGTATTGTCTGCCCATCTATATATGGGTTAGAGATATGGGCTAAAACTAATGATGGTTACATTGTTGTTGCCGGAGTTAATTACTACATAAATAGATGATTTAAGCTAAGGTTGTTGTCCCACATTGGAAGTTCATAAAATAGGAAAGGTAGGAAAGTATTACAAATAGATAAGTTATAACAACTAAGCACATACTTACTTGGACAAGGTCAATGGCTGATCAAAAAGAGCCATGGCCTAGACTAGTGACCTCCATTGCACTATTGGAGGATTGCTAGCCTAAGGTCTCCCTAAATGGGAGAGCCTATGTCATAATTTGTGGCAGAGGGGGCTTGTGTTCGCGCAGCCCCCACCAAGCTTGAGTTCAAGTTTTGGTTTCGATGTGATGTTGTCTTTGCTCTAAATGTTATGGGGTTTGCACTTGCACGTAATTGGCTTCAGCCTTTGGCTTTGATGGATGATGCTGCAATCTCATTCCTAGTTTTGCATGTTCTATTGAGGAATAAATTTTTGTTCATATCAGCTAGGGAAAGTAGTATATGGTTGAGTGAATACCAGAAACATTACTCTGTCATGCCAGTCCAAACAGGACCATATATGGTATTTTGCTCAAGATTACATATATACAAAGGGGTAGCATCAAAATTGGGAAACATAAAAAATTCTTTATCTCACTACTACAAAACCAACCACTTCTGTACTTTACATGGGCCTGCATACTCGATCTTCACTAGAGTAACAATTTTATTGTGCAAATACGTTTGGAGAAGTAGACTGCTCTCCGCAACTGTGGCGCATGTGGATATCTTTCAATTCGTTGACAATTTCATAGCCTGGGGAGTAGTAATTGTGGGCTCTTATAATTAACAGGAGCATATTGAATGACATCTATTCAAGGCAAAGCAAAGAACAAACACATAGAATCAATAACATTTTTTTTTAAAAAAAAAGGTAAAACTAAGACTCGATTTTACCATATATGCATTAGCTCATAAATAAATTAATAATAATACTAAAGTATGGTCATCTTGAAAACCATTAACATAATTGAAGAATCGTAAACTACTTACTACATATGAGTACTAGATTGGGGCACACCTAGAGAAAGTTGAGTGATTCCATAAAATCTAGAGACTACATGTTTCACGATCAAGAAGTATTTTTTTTTCAATTTTTTTTTCCTACGACTCCGATCCAATGTTTATCCTTGCCCATGATATTTCTCCATTGAAGACTTTCAGAGCTATTAGATGCTGATTGGTGTGCACCTATATGAAGTCCCATAGAGAAAGGGGAGCGATTCCATAAAATCTAGAGAGTGCATATTTCACGATTAAATGATATTTTTTTTTCAATTTTGCTTTTTTCTAGAACCCGTGTTGTATATAAAATTGGAAAAAAGATGCATTACAAAGCTGCTTCCTATACCGGAAAAATAAATTGCAAAATAACACTTTTCTTTTTTACTCCATTGTAGGGAACTTCATGCTCATAAACCAAGGGAGCATGTTGGTAAGTACTGTAAGCTTTTCAAAAAATGAAAAGTTTATGCCATTAACAATTTTATGGTGATATACAAAAAATGCACTCATTATTTTATGTTGTAATTCAACTATGCTACTTTGGTTATGTTAGGAATAAAGTGTAATGGTTTTGATATGCCAAATATGTATTTGTAGATCCCCCAATTTTATTTCATAGGTCTAGTAGAGTCTTAGACCATGATCGGGAAATTATTTATGATGCAAAAGAGAAAAACAGAGGAAGATGCATGAAAATGGAAGAAGAGGATATCAAGCCTAAAATCAAGAATTTGTCTGGAGAAAATGGCAAATTGAAGAAGAAGATTAATGGTGTAATATTCACGTCAAGCTACTAAAGAAGATATCCCAGAAGAATTTTCGTGAAGAAAATTACGAATTGAAGAATGCATGAAATTAACTTGGAGATCAAGCATCTATGGAAAGAAAGGAGTACATCAAAGAAGATTGGAAATTTACTCAATAAGGTGTACGGACGAAGTAGATGATGCTTGATATATTATGTGAAATGGCTCAAGTTTGAAACTCACCATCAACAATTTTACAAGGTAAAATTTGGGAAGCCAAATTAATTTAATCAATTGCACCTGGGAGCCAATTCAAAGGGAATTGGGAGCCAATTTCATAGCAATTGAAATTGGGAGCTAGTTTCGAAGCAATTGAAGTTGGGAGCCAGTTTCAGAGAAATTGAAATCAATTGGAATTGGGAGCTAGTTTCGAAGCAATTGAAGTTGGGAGCCAGTTTCAGAGAAATTGAAATCAATTGGAATTGGGAGCTAGTTCAGAGAAATTGAAATTGGGAGCAAGTTTCAAATAGAATCAATTCAAATTGGGAGCCAATGTAGAATTGAAATTGGGAGCCAATTCAAGTTGTAGTATGGGATGCAATTCAGATTGGGGACCAATTAAAGGAAGACATTGAGGAGCAATTGAAATTGAGATAAAATTCAAGAAGTCCAATTTCGAAGATGTAATTGAAGCACCAGGAGATGTTGGGAGCCAATTGCAAGTCAAAGTCAATTGGGAGCCAATTACAAAGGAGAAATTCAAATTGGGTGCCAATTACAAGTCAATTGACATTGGGTGTCAATTACAAAGGAGAAATTCAAATTGGGTGGAAGTTCAAAGCCAATTTGATATCTGAGAACACCCAGACGTGAGAATGAAGAAGATGAAGCAGAACTTACAGTGAAAAATATTCTCACAAAGAAAATACTAGTTTAACTAGTATGGGATTAAAATAAAGATTATTTTTGAATCCCAAAGGTACAAGGACCAATTCAGAGCTGATCAGAGAAGTCGTTCTACACCAAAATAGAAACCCAGATATCTCTACTCAACGTTAAAACAGAGGAATATCAGATGAAGTTTGGAAGCTCATTTACAATGGAGATGAAGATCTTCTCAAA